ATCTATGTCTTCCATCATGGCCCCAAATCTATGACTGCTGGACTTCTCGTGACTAGAACTGTATTTCTAGAAATGAAAAATCTGTCAACTCTATCACAGTCACATTTTAATTTCAAAAGCATCCTCAGAAAGGAAGATGATCTTCCCCTAGGAACCTACACCTTGTTTTTCACTTCTATGTAAAAAACTCATCAGGTCAAGGCAGGCCAACCATGCAACCCAACTGAGAAACTTTTAATGTGTATTCATATTTCCCCCCATTTTCTTGCTCCTTTGATTTGCTGCAGGCTTGAGAGTCTGTTTTTTAAAAAAATCTTGCTACTTGCTGTTACATACATTGCATATTTATTAAGGGTATCTTGCTATTACCTTTGAAGTAGTAACACAATGCCTTATGCCAATGTAGTAATATCTGTTTGATGGACAAATCTATATCCATATTTCTGTTTCTTTTTTTATTTCAATAATATATCTGAAATACAAAGTTTCATACATATCTTTAATATGCAGACTTTGTGCACAATATTCACAACAAATGCATTAACACTACAGACTATAACATCGCCAAGAGAGTCATCATGGTCTATTGTGTCAAGGATCCTTGAACTAAGATGCCTTTAAGTAGGCCTTGACATGATAGCTCATAACAGTTTCTTCATAATTTGTGTACAAAGGAATCCTGCAGTAGGCCTTGAAAACATAGACTAAAACTTCTCCTTACTATGCCAATAATCTGTGTATTAGAAAAAAGAGAAATCTACACATTACACACCTCAAACACATTAGGAAAACTGAAGTCTTGTTTTCTGTAAGCTTGTATAGTGATGATGGCATGGCCAAGCTAAACAATTCAGTGGAACTGACTTTTTTTTGAAAGTTTTTATACTAAAAAAGAAAAGCCCTATTTTTACTAGGGCTTAAAATAACTTTTCTTCCTTACTACTTGTACTAAAACATCCTCTAGCGAGTTAGAATGTTTGATAGGAGTATACTAATTATCTCTTTTTTAGTCCTAAAGTCTCCTTTTGAGGTCTAGGCTAGAGACAGAAATTACACATAAACCGGAATAAGTGATCAGAACCAGTTCAGACCTATAATACAACAGAAGTTCAGTGCAAATAAACCGCTTTCAAAATGGCCAAAATTGGTTGAAGGTAATCCTGGATGAATGTAGTATTTGACTTAACTGATTTAGGTTAAATAAGTTTATAGAATTTCTGTCTTAGATCCCCTTCAGATTCAAGTTAATTTAGTCTCCCAACATCCCAGGATGCTTTGCACCTCCCCTGCAAGCCCTGCCCCTTTGCAGGGTGGGAGGGTGGGGCAGTCTTGGCCCAAGCTGTCTGCTCCAGCTGAGCAGGGAGGTGTGTTCTAGCACCCCCTGGCTTCTGGCCTGGGCCACTGCAGGTATGTGGCTGCATTTCCAGAATCAAAAGTGAATGTCTGTTCACCTGCTCATCGGGTTCAATCTATGTCACTTAGACTAACCTGCAAAAAGGGAATGGATTCAGCCTTGGTCTTTTTGACTGCCTGTAGTTAGCCCTACGGTCAGGTCAATGCAGCAGTAGCATAATCAGTCTACAGGAGAAGTATCTTTAATATTAGAACTAAGAACATTCAACCTTAAATACTCATCAGAGCTGTGCATAATTATTTAGGGTACATGAACTCTGTGAAAATAAATACAAATTTAGAACAGAAACTCTGGGGAAAAGAACATAGATTTATTTGAGCTACTCTCTCAAAGCCTAAGACCTAAGACCTCAAACTTATTTTCAATGTCATGCCTGACCACGTTCTGGATGTGAAACCCTAGCAAAAAATTCAAATGAGTCTGTCATTAACTTTTAGACTCAAGCCTATGCTGAATAACAGAATATGGGAAGCTAACGGTAAAAAAGAATATGGTACGAAAGTAATGGGAGATGGGACAATGAAGGTTGCTTAGTCATGAAAGTAATATCCTATATTTTTTGGGTACTTGGATTTCCAAACTTAAATCATATCTTCAATCTTAATGGATTTCTCATGGAATTTTCACATATTCAGACTTGACTTCAAAGAAGGTTGCGTCAGTGGAATATGAGCACAAAGTAGCCCTGTGAAGCCGAGCAGTTAACAGAGACACTATGGTTGTAACTGATTTTAAAGGGCTGAGTTTAAGGCTGTGTTCTAAAACGGAAAGGCAATTCTCCTATTCACTGCTCACAGGTCTATGCTAAATGTGGTGCCTAAATATCATGGTGATTAGCACCATAAAAATACTTAATTTTGGCAGACAGCAAATCAAACATAGAAGTTATGATCGATGGTCCTTTGCTCATGTGACTGTTTCCTGACATGTATCCTCTGAAACAGGGAAAAGAGGGAACAATTATTTGGAAACAACCATGAAAGAATCTCTTTTCCATGCAGGCAAACCGCAGTCACAAGAAAAAAAAGCACCTTTGTGGAGGACTCGGTCTCTGAGAAATTACCAGAAAAAACAAAGATCGCGTTGTCTAAACAGACTGGTACTGGTTTTGTAATAGCTTTCTATTATATATATATTGGCAACATGCAGGTGTGCTAGACATTGGGTAAAATTGTAAATAATACAACAATTTATGTAACATAAAGATATGGTAGGTATCAATTATGTGAGATATACAGGGAAAGCTAATTGTCATGTTCAACTTAGGACACTGCAACAGTTCAGCAAAGAAGTCCCACTACAACTCTGTTTTGTTTCACATCTTCAAGTTGCACTTAACCAGTTTGTGGACTTTTTGACCTTGTATGCTTAGCAATGCATCTGCTTTGTTGTAATGTAACTTGAGTTTTGCATACTGCAGTTCTGAAGCTAAATTTACAATATTTATTTGTGCCTCTGAATTTAGTTACTAATATTTTTCAGTCATAAACTTCTGAATCTGTCTACTTGTAGAAGAACAGGAAGGAACTTTTGCATGCATTAAAAACATCAATAGCCCAAACGTAACCTCCGTTATAGGTGTACAACCCAATTACGTTCCATTGGCCAAATTTATTCCTCATATAAAACTACTGAAACACTATTGACAAAGAAGATGCTATTTGTACAGGGTCACTTATCAAAACAAAAATTTGTACAAATAAACTTCCCTCTGCAGGTCTACTCCTTGTGGGTTCTCACATATATTAACTTTAGTAGGACATAAGTTTTTTTTTTAACCGTGTTTTACTCCTGTTAACACCATAGGGCCAACAAAAGTAAGAGAAATGGAACTAAATTACTTTCATTCAACACAACTGTTAATTAAGTTCCAATTAATTACACCTGCACAAGCCTAATGATGATAATGGGGTTGCACAGGGTTTGCAGATAACATGAGTGGATTGTAGAGCCTTCATTAATCAGTTAACTACACAATAAGAGGTAGTATCATAGGACAAGTCATACTCTCTGTACATGCAGCTAAAGCTACTGTTAATGGAAATGACAGGAGCACAAAAACACATACCACATTAGTATGAAATTAAAATGATAAATAGTTGAGGAAATGTTTTCGGTTATTTCAAAAGGATGATTTAATAAGCACTAAGAATGATTAAAACTGCTTTGCACTCATTATTCCCTACAGTTAACTAAAGAGTTTGGGTTAAGAACCCATCAAAACTTTTATTCCACCCGAGGATGAACAGGGATCGTCTCTCACTGATGCCTTCAATTTAACCCCTGCTAAAGGCATGAGATGAAAACATCTCAAAGTTAATTTCTTAAATCAGAAATGCAACTTCCACACTTAGCACAATTTATTTAGTTCAATGCGATGCTTTTACATAGCGCCAAATTCTGCAAGCCTTACACCGAGCAACACCCAAGAGGAGGTAATATCGGATTATGCCTCGGGGCTCTGGTCTGAATTCAACGGGGCTACTTACGTAAGTAAAGCTTACATACATTTGAGACCATCCAGGGAAAGTTAATTTCTCAAACAAACAAAAAAAAGACAGATAAAGGAAAAATGAAGATGACGAAGTGCCTCGTGTTGTACAGTCGTCTAAGACTGAGTTTGAAGGACACTATTCGCAATTTGCTTAACAAGCCCACACACTCTTTGACGCCGGGGAAAAGCCGAATAAATCTTCTCTGCGCGCATCCTTGAAGGAAGATCTAGTTTCAGTTTAGAAATGTCTTTTGAGAAAGCAGACGCAGGAAGTGAGTTTAACTCTCCAGAGAGGTACCATGCTATTTCAAAAGGATGTGAAAGGGAAAGAAAATGATGCAGTAGGGATTTTTCTTCATTACCACTCAGCCCATAGAAGTGGACATACAATGAGTACGGTCTCCACATATTGATTTTAGCACCAAGGATGTGTGCAGCTAACAGCTTTTTAAGTATCTCCATTTTCAGTTACTTCAACAAAATTACCAATGAGCGGGATAACACAGTGAAAGTTTTTTGGTGGGAAATTGCAGACTAAAAATGATCATTTAAGCTGCGAAATGCTTCTTTTCATCGAAGGTGCAGGGCTTTTAAATGCAGAAGTAAAGTTACTGGGGCATTTGCCAGCTGTATCTTCACTCCACGGTTTGCAGGCTATAATCTGCGTCTCTTTCGAGATGCTAATATTGCACAATTTGGTCAGGCAAGGACTTTTTTTATTTTATTTTATTTCTCCCCTTTTTTTCTTAATACGCAAGGGGACCGGATTTAAAAAAAAAATCTCTGACGTGAAACTGAGGCGGCAGTGAGAGAAAGGGCTCTTTTTTACTTTAAAAAAACATTAAAAATAACCCCTTTAAACTCTGACCAAAACCCAGCTCAGGAGAGGGGGCAACTGCCCCCCTCAGACAAGGGAGGTGGGGGGAGCAGGAGCAG